TGTATCCTAAGTGATACAATTAATTAGGTACCATTAGCAACACCTCCGCACCCATGTCCATAATAAAAACTAATTGTTAGTATGTCCTTTTATATTATCCAGCAACTTCAAACCCTTTAATTTTACTGTTACCAGATACTCTAATTTCTAGTGGTGAAATTATGATTTTGGAATCTATATATGATAAAATGATAGGTGGCTATTATGCTTTTTTTTAAAAAAATGGTTTTCCAAAGAAAAATAGTAGTAGCATACCAGGGTAAGGAACAGTGCTGTAGGGGGCTAATATCTGAGCTAGTACTCTGTAAGGGTTTATTTATTTGTCATCCCTAAGAGATAATCTGTATATTCACAGATATCCAGGAAAATCAGCAATTAATTGATCTCTAGTTTACAGTATGCTCCATGAGCACAATTTTAGGGGAGTCTCCTTTCCCCCATCTGCCTTCAAAACCAGCCCCACTCAGTAGTAAGAAGCCACAAAAACCATTTCCGTACTGACATCAGTTTTTTCTTGGTGTTGTGGGAAATTTTGCCTAACTTACACTAAAATTTCTACTTTTGAGTTGTGAACTTTTGAAACACAATTCCACTGCTCCAGTTTGGAAAAATATAAAAGATTCTCACTAAATCACCAGTAAAAAAAGAATGAGATGGGCTTGCACTTTCCTTTAGAATGTAACAGTTTAAAGTATTTTATTGACAAAAGAAACATATCAAATGGATAAATACTGAGGTGCAGAATGTTTTGAGTCCATTTACAAAATGAAGAGCTTTTGGCCACAGTTGTATCCTTCTAAATGGTAAATAAACAGCAAATTAATCAGCTTTCAATAAGAAACTTGTCAAATATAAGTTAGTATGTTTCTCTGACCTCAGATAAATCTGGTAGGAACTTGCAATAAATAGCAAAACATACATAGAAGACCACAAACTTCTTTCCTGCCTTTGGGAAGATGGTTGCCTAGATTAGTCTATAATTTTTTGATACTGACAGATTTCATTTTACAAACCTAATGCTGGCATAATCAGATTGAAGAGGCAAACCCAATTCTGTTGTCTTGCAAACCAAATAGCTTACAGAGCTTCATCTACCAGGAGAGTTACAGTTCAGTCTTGAGAGCAAGTAAGTTTTGTTCAGCTTTGACATTACGACTGCAACACTGCAGTTTGTCTCTGATCACTCTCAGGTGAGCACTCCACCTAGATCCTCCAGTGCTGACAGAAGAATCACTTCACTCTGCCAGACACATTTGCCTGTGCAAAGTGACTAACACCAGTTTGAACCACTCACTGAAGTGAGGCCATTTATAATTCAAACTTACTACAAGTAGAGCCATGCAGTTCCCGTACTCTTTTTATTTTGTTTGCAAAACTATAATTTTGTGAAGTTAGCCTTGGGAGGAAACAGATTATTTAAAAAGTAGGGTTTTTTTTGTTTTTTTAATCTAGTGAGAAAAGACCAGCTACAAGAAAATAATAATAAACAAAAGGGCAAGACCAAGACTTGGGACAGACAATTAGGATATTTTTCGTCATCCTGCAATAAGTTTGACATCTGTGATCATTCAAAGTAATTGAAATATTTATCTTATGTAAAATAATTCAGGCACAGAAACACAAATACTGAATGTTCTCAATTATGAGTAAGAGTTAAACAATGTGTATATCTGGATATAGAGTGTAGAATGATAAACAGTGGAGACTCAGAAGGGTAAAGGGGGTGCCGGGATGGATGACCAGAGATTACTTAAGGGGTGCAGTATATATTATCTGGGCAACAGATATCCTAAAAGCCCTGACTTCACCACAACACAATATATGCACATAAAAAAATTATACTTGTACCTCATAAATTTATACAATGTTTTTGTTTTTTGTTTTTGTTTTTGTTTTGAGACAGAGTCTCTCTTTCACCCAGGCTGGAGTGAAGTGGCACCATCTCCTCTCACTGCAATCTCCATCTCCTGGGTTCAAGTGATTCTCATATCTTGGCCTCCTGGGTAGCTGAGATAATTAAAAAAATTTTTTTGAGATGGAGTTTCTCTGTTGTTGCTCAGGCTGGAGTGAAATGGCACAATCTCGGCTCACTGACAACCTCTGTCTCCCAGGTTCAAGCAATACTTGGGATGCATCAGCTTCCCAAATAGCTGGGATTACAGGCATGTGCCACCACACTTGGCTAATTTTTTTGTATTTTTAGTAGAGATGGGGTTTCACCATGTTGGTCGGGCTGGTCTTGAACTCCTCAGGTGATCCACCCGCCGCAGGCTCCCAAAGTGCTGGGATCACAGGCCTGAACCACTGGGCCTGGCTGAAATTTATACAGATTTTAAAGAAGAAGAAAAAAAATCTGAAACATAAAATAACTTACCTATAAATGAAACTTTATGTATAGATGAGTTAATTATCCTGTGATTTTTGTTTTACATGTTTGTAATTACAACCCCACCTTCACAAAAATAGGCATCCTGAGCTTTTTATCAATGTGTTCATTCAACGATGTTTATTGTGCACAAACAGTATTTAAGTCATCCTGTTAGGTTGGTCCATGCTATCAGGCATCTATAAATGTGTTGTTGTGCATCTATACCTTTTCCATATTTGAATGAATTTAGAGAAATATTGGGAGGGATTTAAAAAATCTAATCTCTAACATAGATATTCCTCCATTGGCTCTCAGCTCCCTACCCTAACCCCCTCAGTCCCTCAGTCACACATGCACTAGGACTGACACTTTTTAAAAGGCATTGTGACATGTCGATTATTTTTACTTACAGATCTTGTGTAAATAAATGTTCTGTAGAACAAACGGTCAAAGTTTGAAGATACTTGCAGTGTTTTCCAGAGTAGACCATCTTTTTGAGATACTTGGCACCTGTACATTGCTCCTGCAGTTTGTGTCAAGTTGAGAAAAGTTGCAGGCTGGTGGAGTTCTCATTTGGTGTGCTGTATATACACACAATTCCGTTCTTGTATCTGAGCTGCTATTCAGTCAGGGTGATTCCGGAGCCTTCAAAAAATCTTTCCATTCCTCCTTCTCTCAAGATATCACTGTTCCCTTCTGAAATGGGTATGCCCTCATAGCCACTTGTCTATTAGGAGTTTAATTTTAAACTGTACGGTAGTGTTCACAATATTCTGTGAAGGGGGAATCCACTCATTTGCAAGAGTTTGTGATTAAGAAATGAACAACAAATATTTGTGACAATTTTTGTGCATATGTATATATTTCAGAGCAGGAAAAAACATACATTTGGTAGTTAATAGTTAGAAGACAAATTGAAATTAGAAAATTTTCTTAGTCTGTTTTGTGTTGCTGTAACAGACAACCTAAGGCTTTGTCATTTATACAGAAGAGAGATTAGTAACTCATGATTGTCCAGGCTGAAAAGTGCAAGAAGTATGGCACCAGCAACTGCTTAGCTTCTGGTGAGGACTTTTGTGCAATGTCAAAGCATGGCAGAAGGTCAAAGGGGAACCCAAAGGGTTTCTTGACTTTATAACAACTCATTCTTCAACTCATTCAGTTTGTTTTGTCAGCACAGTACTGGATATGGGAAAAGAAAAGCATAATAGTAAAGGGAGTATAGATTTGAAAAAGCAAAGGAGAAATTGAGACATGAGTGCATTCTCCTTTCCTACATTTTCTCCTGTATTTTGTTCCTAGATTTACTTTTCCCTTTCACTTAGAGACATTTTTAATGAGTAAAAATAGGTATCAATTGATTTTTCTCCAGAAAAATGAAATCGTTTTATGCTGAGTAATAAACATTGTTTCAATTTGTGCCACACTTGATGAAGGTGTCAAAATATTGGATGTGAATGAAGCACGAACATGGGGGCCAGGCGGCAATGTCCCCTGCTTGACTTTATCAGAGACATTGCATATGCGTCCTTGAAAAGTGAAGTCGCAAAAGATTTACATTTTACTAATATAGCATTTAATCCCCTATTCAGGGATAAACATTTTTAGGTCTTCCTTGCTTTGCTATAGAAAATGACCAAGGTGAATTAACAGTATCTTGTTAGAGTATTGAAAAACCAAATAACTTCTTTAAAGTGGCTACTGTAGAGTAATAAATATAGATCTTCTATTGCACATCCACTTGCCATGATTGGAATTTTTATTCACTTTGAAAATAAATAGCAGCTGCAAGTATACATGTAGCCAACATGACAAACACAGTTTGTTTAATTATTGGTGTGCTTTGAGTTTTTCCCCACCAAAGCTCGCCTTGAAATTTAATCCCAAATGTGGTGTTGGGAGGCGAGGCCTAATGGGAGGTGTGTGGGTCACGAGGGTGGATCCCTCATAAATGGCTTGGTATAGACCCTTCCAGAAAGCAGGAATGATGTACCTGAGGCTGTACATCAGTCACACTGATTAATGCAATTCCACTCCCGTGTTAGGCCTGAAAAGGACTGATTAGCAGAGACACCAAGCTGCAGAGTTCTGTGTTTCTCAAACAGGCTTCCAGAAAATTATCAGGCATGCTATCAGGAAGTCTACACAACATGGTTTTGTTTGGTTTCTTGGGTGTATGGATTATTTCTCTTGCACAGAGCTCTTCCTTTCCTTCTTGTTCTTTTCCCCACTGACATCAATTCTTTCTTGATATGTGAGAAATTTTGCGTAACTTACACTAAAATTTCTACCTTTGAGTTGTGAACTTTGGAAACATAATTAGTGTCTTATAACTTAAGAGTTCAGGTTTCTTCTTCAACTGCTATGTCTTGGACATTCATTTCAAGAGGGAAAAAAAGCCTTTGAATATTTGTGTCAATTACAACCAACCTTTTATTATCTAAATATTTGATAATATTTCCTATCTCAGTGGCATTTATATGAACGTTGATGCCTTGGACTACCCCCCATTAATGAATATGTAAACTCCTAGAGCTAGGGTACTTGTTTTAAAAGACCTTTGAATCTAAACTTTTAATGGTTTTAGGCAGATTTTTAATATTCTTCTAAATATATCCTTGTCTCTTTCTAGGTTATTCCAATGTTGCAGGAATTTATAATCAACAGATTGGGGCGTGCATTCATTGAACCACCCCCCTTTGATTTAGCCAAGGCATTTGGAGATAGTAACTGCTGTGCACCACTGATTTTCGTGCTCTCTCCCGGAGCAGATCCCATGGCTGCCCTTCTAAAATTTGCTGATGACCAGGTACCTTATAATAGATGATGTTATCGGGTATTACTTTTAAAAAGTAATACTTGCTTATGATTGGAATCATAAGGATGAGGAAAAGGTAGAAGTTTGTCACTCAGCCTTTGAAAGGCTTAAGGGTCCAGAGGTTGAAAGAATCCCAAGAAAATGATACTTAAATGGCAGCACTGACATTAAAAAGACCTTATCCAAATTAAAATTTAACTAAAGCTAGAATTGGGATTTAAGTGGCATTTGCTTTTATTTGGGGTGTGGGGGACAGGGAACTCTTTGGCATTGTTTACACCAGTGTATGAACTTGGGTTGATTTAATAAATCCAAGTCTAGATAGTGACCCCAGGGGTAAATCTTTTCTGATCCCACCCCACTGCCACTCTTTAAAGGGGGACCTTTTTTGACTTTCTAGAACAATTGTACATTATGGTCACTGTATTAGATTAAAATATGTTCTACTATTTACATGCCTTGTCTTTAAAAATTATTCAAATGATTTCAGTACAAATGTTCTCACATCATAAGATCTAGAACAAGAAAATGATAAACAGCTGATTGGGCATTTCCTGAGCTGAATTTTTTTTTCTGATTTGATGCAATTAAAATGACAGGGTGTGGTAATTCTACTGCTATTTCTAAAACCACCACCACCCACCACTTGTGTTGAGTGCTTAATGTATACTGTTGACTTTGCTAGACCTTGTTAACATACGATTTCTCTTTTAATTTTTACTAAAACCCCGTAAGGTAGATGGTGGTATCTCTGTTTTACATGTAGGAACACTATAAAGTATGGAGAGGTTGAGTAGCTCCTCAAAGGCCATGTAGCTAAGAGGTTAAAATACTCTTTACAAGGCCAAAAAATTTGATTTAAGGCCTCAGAAAAATTTAAGAATTTTAACTTAAAGGGGAAATAAAAGGACTGGCTGTCTTGCAACAACTCCTAAAATCCAAAGCTGAAAAGAAAATTATAAATAGGTGAACTTGTCCTATTTCCTCCAGATTTTGAATTGTATATTTCTTGCATGATTGTAATTCTTATATACAGAAGAATAGATGGCTTAGCTTGGCATTTACTATTTCCTAAAGAAGTGCTGGAACCTGGCTCTGGTGATTGAGGAGATGAGGTGTGAGATGTGTGAAGGACCAGATCATGTGGGGTCTCTGTAGGCTACATGAAGGACATTGAGTGAGACAGAAAGATGGAAGAGTAGGGTTTTAAGCAACATACTGACATGATCTGACCTGTAATGTAAAAAGTTCATCCTATTTGGAACCTGAAGAATTTATTTGAGTGGAGCAGAATGGAAGGAGGTCACTAGTAAGGGGAGTGGCTATTGAAAGTCCAGGAAGAGCAGTGGTGGGTAGGAGTAGAGGTGTTCACTTTTATGTAGAACTCACTGCTCCTAATTAACACAAGCTTGGTGACGATTTGAGCCCTTCCTAGTTGCTCTTTCTATCTCTCCTCACATTATACATGTGATTATTCTCTGGCTCATATGTGAGTCCTGCTCTGTGAATTCTCTTCACTCGCTGTCTGCTCTTCTCCCAGAAACAGCAGGATCCAGCTCTGCTTTGTTTTCTGCTGCTTCTGCCAGCTAATGACAATAAGCATTGGGCATTTGGGAGGGGCTGAGATCCCACTCTTCCATACCCAGGCCTCTTCTAAAGGGGCAGGCTGGTGATAACTACCCTAGAAAGGAGACCCAGAAGCCATAGATGAATAGGAATACAGTAGATCTGAATATAGGAAAACATTCCCATAGAATGCTCTAAAGAAACTGACATGGAATCAGTGGCAATTTTTAAAATTCTCTTTTATACAGTAGCCAAATTAACTAAAATATACTTATTCAAATATCTGAAGAAAACAGGACAAGTTCATCTGTCTCTTGATAGTTTTCTTTTCAGGTTTGGATTTTAGGAGTTGCTGCAAGACAGCCAGTCCCTTTCATCTCCTCCTATGTTAAAAGTCTATTTAATTTATTCTTTCTATTTCTTCTGTCAACAACCGAAGACTCTACAGAATTTTCCATGTATTGCCATGACTATTTCCTACATGAATTGACTTGCTTTTTATCTGAGTGTTTATAAGATTCCTGGTCGATGAGAGTTTTTTAGGGATGCATGTGTTTGACTTTTGGAGACATGCAACCTAATTAAATTTTAGTACAGTTAATGTTAACATTTTTAAAAAATAACAATATTGATGTTTCTTAAAATGTGATTTTAAATAACATCTTTACTGTTCTTGTACACAGGGATATGGTGGATCAAAACTTAGCTCTTTATCTCTTGGTCAAGGCCAAGGGCCCATTGCTATGAAGATGTTAGAAAAAGCTGTCAAGGAAGGAACATGGGTGGTTCTTCAGAATTGTCACCTTGCCACCTCTTGGATGCCAACCCTTGAGAAAGTCTGTGAGGTAAACATGCAAGTTTATGCTTATTAGATTGTATTCCCTGAATCTAATTAGTAATGTATGTAACATTCAGGTAGCTCCATTCCTCTGTAATTTGGAGGGTTTGCAGGTTAGTGCCTTGGCTCGATTACAGGAGAGATGGGCTCACACTGAAAACCAGATCTGGAGGAACGGAGGCGAGCACATTGCCAGGCCTGAGCAAATCCCTCTTAAAGGGACCAGGGCTCATCCAGTGAGATGGAAATATTCTCAGTCTCAAGGAGCAGGCTCGAGGAGGAGAGTAAAGCACAGAGTAGATGTATACTAACTTTTTATAACAGTAGCCTAAAGCAACCAAGGAGGACTGTTCAAGGGGAAATACATGTGGCCGCTCTAAACTCAAAGGTTTCAGTATGTCACTTTTCTTTCACCCACTTCTCTCCCACTTGGCCAGTTACCCTGCCACAGTACATAAATCTGAAACCAGAAGGGTACAGCTCCCACCCTCCTTGCAGTGAGTCATGGGACTTCCCTGTTCTGGTGGGCAGAAATTCCAGGAAAAAAAACTGCATGCAGCTCAACTGAGTAAACAGAAAGCCTGGCACTTGATCTCATCAAACACAGAGAAAATCAATCCTCTGGACTCTAGTCCACCCCTAACTCCCTTCCACATAACCAGGGTGATGATAGAACTTGAACCGTCCACCCATCTGGCTTTGTTTTTTCTTTGTCACTTAGTGCCACTTTGTTCTGCCTGTGTCTCCCACTAGAGTGTAAGCACCATTAAGACAATGACTTTGCCTTTATCTGTTGTATCCTCTGCTTTCCCTCAAGCACCTTCACCAGTGAGACCCACAGGATACAATCAGTAGATACTTATTGAATGGATATTGCTTCACTGCCTGCCAATTTTCAGTGGCCTCCCAAGGCATACAAGACAAAGTTCAAACCCCAACGTGACCTACAGCACACTTCAGGACCGGATCTTGGCCTACTTCTCAAGTTTCTTTTCAGGCCACTTTCCATTGTGACTTCTGTGCTCCAGCCTTTTGAACTTCTTTCACTTTTATTGGTTGAGCACACTTTCTCAAGAATATAGGTCATCTTAGTGAATATAATTTTTGCCTGAAAAACTGTTCTTTTTATCATTTGCCTTGCAACATCTCCTCATACTTCAGGCCTTCGATCAGAAGTGTTTTGTTTTGTTTGTTTGTTTGTTTTGTTTTGTTTTTGAGGTGAAATCTCACTCTGTCACCCAGGCTGGCATGATCTCAGCTCACTGCAACCTCCACCTCCCAGGTTCAAGTAATTCTGGTGCCTCCACCTCCTGAGTATCTGGGATTACAGGGGCCTGCCACCATGGCCGGCTAATTTTTTGTATTTTGAGTGGAGACAGGATTTCACCATGTTGGTCAGGCTGGTCTCGAACTCCTGAGCTCAGGTGATCCACTCACCTTGGCCTCCCAAAGTGCTGGGATTACAGACGTGAGTCACCGTGACTAGCCTATCAGAGGTTTTATATTTGTGCTTGTCTGCTTATGGTTCTTCTGTCTGCAGACCATTCCCATGACCCGTTGAATTGTATCATATATACCCATCACAGGGTCCTGTAAGAGAGAAATCTGTCCCTGATGGATTGGACCAGAGTCCCGTTAATCATGTTACTGAAGTCACTAGACCATAGGGCAGCTGCTAGGAGAAAAAGAATGTGCTTTCACCCACCATACTGCTTTTTAAAAACATAGACACCTATGCCTTCTTCCTCATCCACCCCTTCACCACAGGAGTGCTCAGGGTTGTTGTTGTTTTTTTTTTAACCAGTATAGATTTGCCATTTCAAGAAACACAGAAACTACTGACATGCACAACTGGGGAAGGTAGCAGTAGGAAGTGGGACTGGACCTGAAGCGGGGGAAAGGTCCGTGATAATTTTTCCTAGGCCCCATGTGGCCTTATGATGGTGCTAATTGAGTGTTCTGTTACCCTTCGCAGCCCAGGTATGACCATCCCCTTGAATAAATATAGTGGTTAGTGATAAGTTTTGATGTTTCAGACTATCCCAGTTTTTCTCACCCTTTAAAATTCTCTCTCATCTAATCTCTGCTTGGCTTAATATTGACTTCTCTGAGTGCCTTGTTTATTCTCACAGCTTGGCTACAGCAAGAAAAATGGATTAGGCTTAATCTATCTCTGGGGCAGAGAATTATTTCTGTAAATATTTCAGCAACATCAGTACGCATACAAGAGTTTTTGGAATGTCTTAGTTATTTTGACCAACTCTGAATTATATAACACTTTTGTAAACTTTATAGTCATGCGCGTTAATGTTACCAAAGAGACTGACAATGCCCTGGGCCTTCTCAACAACGCGTATTGTTTTAGAAACAGAATCAGATTTTAAGGCTTTTGCTGAAAATTGCAGCAGTTACGTTTCTACTTTGTAAAATGCTTCCTCTCCCTTCCAACTCATCCTTCATATGTATGCTCTTGAGATTTGCTTTGGCTCATATTTACCCTTTTATATCTATTTTCTTACAGGAGTTAAGCCGAGAGTCAACACATCCAGATTTCCGAATGTGGCTGACAAGTTACCCATCTCCAAATTTCCCTGTGTCAGTACTGCAGAATGGAGTGAAAATGACCAATGAAGCACCGAAAGGTTTACGGGCTAATATCGTTCGATCATACCTCATGGACCCAATCTCTGACCCGGAGTTCTTTGGCAGCTGCAAAAAGCCTGTTAGTAATGGTTAAGTCTTGTTACCTTGGCCCTGTAAAGCAGTTCTAGTGGCCCCTGGTGATCATGGATGTGTGCACTGAGTAAAACTAAAAATTAAATAGGCTCCTGCACTGCAGTGCAGTAGGTCTTGATAACTGATTATTGACTGTGCTGAAGTCAATTTTATTAATATTTTATTTTAATTTTACCACCAGCCTCATTCCTGCTTAGCTGAGATCTTATGGGGTGTCATTAATAATGTAGCTTTCTATTTAGAAAGTCAGCTGTAAGCCATTCCCAGTACAAATCTGCAAGGTTGGAGAATCTTGTTTCAGGATATTAACTGAGCCTTATGCTATTTGGAGCCATGTCTCTAAATTAAAACATAAAAATATTGCTTTCATATAACTATAATGAGAGCCAAAATGATTTTACTCCTTGATTGATGGGACTCACAAGGGTCTTTTTTAGCATCACCAGGCAAGCAGGGAAACCACCCACTGCTTTCATGATTAGAATTGTATATGTGAATGTCTGTGACCAAAAATTGTTTCACAGCGTTTTGACGTAATTAAAAATGGAAGAGTTTCTTTTTAAGAGGGGTTATGAACCTTAGTATGTTTTTGCTATTAAAAAGCACATACTCTTGATGTCTGAATTTAAGTACGCATCAAGAGAAAACATTAAAAATAAAGTAGTACTTTCATTAAACAAAAGTCTTGGGTACTAAAAAACAAAGGGGCACCTATATTTAAAACAAAGTCAGACCGTCTCCTAAGCTTCTAAGACCTGCCATAGGACTAGCTTTTGCATTGATTAGGACCAGAGAGAGCAGGTTACTCCCAGATGGGTGATGAGGGCGTTTCTGCATCTGATGGACTGGATGGAGCCTTTGCAAAATTTAACTCAAACCCTCCCTTTCTCCTGGATCAAAAGGTCTCTCCAGCAGTAGTCACATATATTAGAGGTCCAGGAATTTATGAAACAGCCCAAATCCAAACCAAAATCTCTTTTTTTTTTTTTTAATTTTTTATTGCATTTTAGGTTTGGGGGTACATGTGCAGAACATGCAAGACAGTTGCATAGGTACACACATGGCAGTGTGTTTTGCTTTCTTAATGCCAAAGCAGCACATCGTAATTTTTCTTTGAACTTTTTATTTGGAAATAATTTTAATCTTTCAGAAAAGTTGCAAGTATAAAAACAATACAAGAGCCAGGCATGATGGCTCATACCTGTAATTTCAGTGCCTTGGGAGGCTGAGGTGAGAGGATTGTTTGAGGCCAGGAGTTTGTGATCAGCCCGGACAGAATAGTGAGACCCCTAGCGCTATTAAAAAAATTAAAAATTAGGCCGGGCGCGGTGGCTCAAGCCTGTAATCCCAGCACTTTGGGAGGCCGAGGCGGGTGGATCATGAGGTCGAGAGATTGTGGCCATCATCAACATGGTGAAACCCCGTCTCTACTAAAGGTGCAAAAAATTAGCTGGACATGGTGGTGCACGCCTGTAATCCCAGCTACTCGGGAGGCTGAGGCAGGAGAATTGCCTGAATCCAGGAGGCGGAGGTTGCGGTGAGCCGAGATTGCGCCATTGCACTCCAGCCTGGGTAACAGCAGCGAAACTCCGTCTCCAAAAAAAAAATTAAAAATTAGCCAGGCCTGGTGGCACATGCCTATAGTCCCAGCTACTCAGGAAGCTGGGGAGAGAGGATCACTGGAGCCCAGGAGAACAAGGCTGCAGTGAGCCATGATCACCTCACTGTACTGCAGCCTGGGTGACAGAATGAGAAGACCCTGTTTCTAGATAAATAAATACCAACAGTACAAGGAGCATCCCTGCACGTTTTTACCCATATTCATCTCCTGTTAATATTTTATTCCTTTTGCTTTATAATTTGTGTTTCCTCTCTCTCTCTGTCTCCGCCCCCGCCCCTGGCATTCCTCCCCCACCTCCATGCTAGGTGCATGTAAATTAGATAAGTTGGATATATCACAGCACCTTATTCTTAAATTTTTTTGTGTAAATTTTGTAAGAATGGGGATATTACCTTATTGTGGTACAGTTATTTTAGTAAGTTTAAGAAGGATATACTGTTATTTAATCTATCACTTGTGTTCCAGTTTTGTCAGTCGATACAGTAATGTCCATTTGAGCATCTTCCCCATCCATGACAGTGTTGGTCTAGTATTAAGTACTATATTTAATTGCCTTGTCTCTTTTGCCTCTTTTAATCTGGCACATTTCCCCAGCCTTTCTCTTTGTCTTTTATGACATTAAGATCTCTGATTGATATCATCTCCCCCTGTTTTTTAATTTGGATTTTTTTTTATACTTTCATCTTTTATTTTAGATTTTTAGATTCAGGGGATACATTTACAGGTTCGTTACATGGATATATTGAGTGATACTGATGTTTGGGATATGAATGATCCTGTCACCCAGGTAGTGAGCATAGTACCCAACAGTTTTTCAGCCCTTGCCCCTTCACTCCCTTTACCCTCTGGTATTCTCCATTGTCTCTTGTTCCCTTTTTTTTTTTTTTTTTTTTTTTTTTCTGAGACAGGGTCTCTGGAGTGCAGTGGCTCATTCACAGCTCACTGCAACCTTCACCTCTCGAGCTCATGAGTAGCTGGGACTATGGGCGCACACCACCACACCTGGCTAATTTTTGTATTTTTTGGTAGAGACAAGGTTTCATCATATTGGCCAGGCTGATCTCAAACAACTGACCTCAATTGATCTCCCAACTGACCTCAATTGGTCTCCCAAAGTGCTGGGATTACAGATGTGAGCCACGCCACCTGGCCTGTTGTTTCCTTCTTTAGGTCTGTGTTTGCCCAGTGTTTAGCTCCCACTTATGAGTGAGAATAGGCAGTATTTGGTTTTCTGTTCCTGCATTAATTAGCTTAGGATAATGGCCTCCAGCTGCATCCATGTTGCTGCAAAGGGCATGACTTCATTCTTTTTTATAGCTGCATATTATGCCACAGTGGATAAGTGCTATATTTTCTTAATCCAATCCATCATTGATGGACATCAAGGTTGATTCTGTGTCTTTGCTATTGCCGTTAGTGCTGAGAACATACAAATTCATGTGTCTTTGGGGTAGAATGACTTATCTTTTCCAGATATATACCCAGTAATGGGATTGTTTTGTGGAATGGTAGTTGTATTTTAAGTTATTTGAGAAATCTCCAAACTGCTTTCCACAGTGGCTAAATTAATTTACATTTCTACCAACAGTATATTCTCTTTTCTCTGCGGCCTCACCAGCGTCCATTGTGTTTTGACTTTTTAGTAATAGCCATTCTGACTGGTGTAAGATGGGATCTCATGGTGGTTTTGATTTGTATTTCTCTGATGATTAGTGATGTGAAACACTTTTTTTATATGTTTCTTGGCCACTTGTATATCTTCTTTTGAGAAATGCCTGTTCATGTCTTCTGCCCATTTGTTTATTGCTTACCGAATTATTTAAGTTCCTTATAGAATCTGGATAGTAGACCTTTGTCAGATGCATAGTTTGCAAATATTTTCTCCCATTCTGAAGGTTGTCTTTTTACTCTGTTGATAGTTTCTTTTGCTGTGCAGAAGCTCTTTAGTTTAATTAGGTCTTACTTGTCAACGTTTGTTTTTCTTGCAATTGCTTTTGAGGATTTAGCCAAAAATTATTTTTTAAGGCCAATTTCAAGAAGGGTATTTCTTCTAAGATTTTTATAGCTTGATTTTTTACATTTAAGTTTTTAATCCATTTTGAGTTAATTTTTGAATATGATGAAATGTAGGAATCCAGTTTCATTCTTCTGTGTATGGTTAGCCAGCTATGCCAGTAACATTTATTGAATAGGGAGTCTTTTCTCCATTGCTTATTTTTGTCAACTTTGTCAAAGAGCAGATGGCTGTAGGTGTGCAGCTTTATTTCTGGGTTCTCTATTCTCTTTCATTGGTCTATGTGTCTGTTTTTCTTTTTCTTTCTTTCTTTTTTTAAGCAGTACCATGCTATTTTGGTTACTGTAGCCTTGTAGTATAATTTAAAGTTGGGGAATATGATACCTGCTACTGTTCTTTTTACTTTGGATTGTTTTGGCTATCCAAGCCTTTTTATTTTTTTGGTTCTGTATGAATTGAACTAGTTTTTTCCAATTCTGTGAAAAATGACATTGATAGTTTGATAGGAATGATGTTGAATGTGTATACTGCTTTGGGCAGTATGGCCATTTTAACAGTATTGATTCCTCCATTCCATGAATGTGAAGTATTTTTTCATTTTTGTCACCTGTGATTTCTTTCAGCAGTGTTTTCTGGTTCTCCTTGTAGAGCTTTTTCACCTCCTTTGTTAAATGTATTCCTAGGTATTGTGTGGGGTTGGGGGCAGCTATTATAAATGGGATTGTGTTCTTGATTTTGCTCTCAGCTTGAACATTATTAGTGTATGGAAATGCTGCTCATTTTTGTACATTTATTTTGTATTCTGAAACTTTACTCAAGTTATCAGTTCTAGGAGTCTTTTGGCAGAGTCTTCAGTGTTTTCTAGGTATAGAATCATGTCAGCAAAGAGATAGTTTGACTTCTTCTTTTTCTATTTGAATGTCTTTTATTTTTTCTCTTGCCTAATTATTCCGGCTAGGACTTCCCCTCTGTTTATTAATAAATTTCTCACTTTGGGGTTTTTTTTTTGATGTTTTCCCATGATTACATTTGGGTGATTCATTCTTAGCCAAGATACTCCACTGGTGGTGACGTATGCTCCAAGATCACATCTGTAGGCACATGATGCCATTTGTCCCTCATTGATGATACTAATTCTGATCACTGAATCAAAGTATTGCTTGATTTCCTCACTGTAAATAACTACTTTCCCCTTTGTTACTAATAATCAGTCTGTGGGGGAGATACTTTAGCACCATGAAAATATCCTGTTCCTCATCAAAATCCAGCCCCAACCCAGATTTAGTAATCATTAATGATTCTTACCTAATCCAGTTATACCTGTGATGATTGCAAAAATATTATTTCCTACCCAAGTGCTCCCTGCCACATTTGATGCTTCAGACTCTACTGTAGGCAACAGTTCTCCCTTCTCCACCATTTGTTTATCTATTAATTGGCATGGACTGTGAATTCCTAGATTCCCCCCACCCAATGATACATTAAGTATTTTCATTGCTATACTGGAGTCTTTGGGTACTCAGATTGTTCCAGAGTTGGTCAGTTAGGGCTCCTTCAAACTGCTTCCTCTGTACTTGGCATAGGTTCCATATTTTTTAAAAAAATATTCTATTATCTGATGATTAGTAGCAGTAGTACCTCTTACTTTCTGGCATAAGATGTTCCAGGCTCATGGTATACCTGTCTTGCCCAGCCTTGGAATCAGCCATTTTTCTGAAGAATCCTATTTCCTTTTAAAGGAGACCAGGGTCTGGGTGTTAGAGGAGCTTATTGCTACTGCATTGTCTGTCTCCATTTTTTTTTTACTCTTTCAGTGGAGAGAACTTGGAGGTATATGTGTACACACATACACAAATATACAGATATGTATACACACATGCATGCAAATATACAAATATACACATACATGCAAAGAAGTTCATGTGCACATAAATACTATATACAAATTTTAGAAGTGATGAATTCGTACCAATACCTCCAATTTCAGTCATTCTTCTCAGATATCTTTTTGCTTTTCCTCATTTCATATTTGTATGTCCCTTCTTGTGCAGTGAGAAACCTGGCTTTCAACATCAGCACATTTACTGATTAGCTCAATTCTCTAATATATATAAAATAGTCCAGAATTAGCCCAGCATGTTTAACTACCTCTGTGGTTAAATTTATGCTACTTTTGTTTTTGTCTTCCACCTTCCCTTTCAAATTTATTCTATGAGAGAAACCCTTCCCCTGCTCTTGTATAAAATATCATCTTTATGACTTTTCTGGTTACTGTTAGATAATAAAATGTTCTGTAGTCATTTTAAATTGCAAAGCCAGCCTTGATTCAGAAACCAAGAAGCATAATGTAATATATTGATCATTATTTCAACTTCTATTCAAAATCTAGGTTTCCACTCCCTAGTGTCTCTCCTTGGGCCTGTAGTTGGCGGGCTTCCTGTTCTTAGGGTATGATGGAGTTGGCATCTTTCTTTTGTGACTCTTCCTGCACTTGATAGCTGCTGATAGAGATCGCTCAGCTCCAAATGTGCGTGAGGGCGAGGCTGGGAGAGGCAGAAGTTCCTGATGGGGGCTGCTGTTGCCTGCAGCATGCTGGACTTGGCAAAGCATTTAAAGCTGACTCTTGAGTTCTTTGTGAACTCTTCTGTGAGTCTCTTCATGGGTTCTCCCAAGGATCCCCTGCTGGACTCTTGTGACTGTGACTCTGTCACCCTGGGCAGTGCCTCTACTTCAGATGGCGACTCTGAATCCTCCTCAGCTTCTGGGTCTCTAGCACTCCTTTCATACAGGCTTTTACGCTTGGGGTTTCCTCACCCCGTGGCAGAAGACTTCTTGACCAGGACACCTTCAAAGTGACCCCTGGCTGCCATTCTCATCCCACACTCCCGTCTGCTCCTTGGGATTCCCATTGGATGGGCCCACTGTTAGAGGAGTATGGCGACTTCACTTTTACCATCCTCCCCCTACTTACCACCCTGCCCCAGCTGCAGGGGGCATGTGTCAACTCTCCACAAGGCTCCGTCAATTCCTTCTCACTAACTCAAACTTAGAGGGTAGACCCCACACAACCCTCCCCACTGGGGGTTTGGGGAAGGGGACTCCCAGCATAACAGCTGTTCCCTCCCAGGAAACCACTTCACAAATCCTCTCTCAAGTTCTATTTTGCCTCTTTCCTATTCTTGTGCGTTTTAGAGTGCTCTGACTAGTTTGGATTATCTCCTTTGCCATTTCTCCATGGTGGTCTGGGAGCACACATTGGAACTGTTCTGTGTTGCCTTGTTGCTTTGGTAGGGACCTCCAAAATTTGTAAGGCAGCATTAAACTAGATGAGCCTCCCATACTTCCTAAAAACCTGGGGTACATAGCTATATGTGCATAGCTATGTGAACATGTACACAGATGGATGTACTTTGCCTGAAGAGCTGTAGAAACACACTTAATTCTGTTATAGTCATAATTTGGGATGAATATATCCCTATGATATTTATAAGTGAGAGGAATTTACTTTCATTTTAAAATATGGTAAATATAATATATGAGGAAAATAATGATGTGGCATCATTTCTTCTCATTTCAGGAGGAATTCAAGAAATTGCTTTATGGCCTGTGTTTCTTTCATGCTTTGGTGCAAGAAAGACGGAAATTTGGACCCCTAGGGTGGAATATTCCTTATGAGTTCAATGAGACTGATCTGAGAATCAGTGTGCAGCAACTCCACATGTTCCTGAACCAGTATGAGGTATCATAAAAATCACAGCAAGGACATTACCTATGTTGCTCTTTATCATGTTATAAGTGTGTTACAGTAAGTGGGCACTTCTGATTAATTTCTACTCTTATAAAATGAATAGGAGAGTAGTTTCCAACAGCTTATTAAGTAGTTCTTTATTATAACAGTATATTACAACTGCTATACTAGGTACTTAGGACGTCAGTTTGTCTATTGGAAACCCATTTTATATTATTTACTTTGACATACAGACACTTGGAGATCCAAAAATGGTAATATTTTGGAAAATACTTATTTTGAAAAGGACTTGAGGAGGCTATTAATCAGCCAGGTTCCAAAATGTAAAAACAGACCAGTTTTCTTCTTTTGTGGAACATGACTTTATTTTTAGGTAATGTCATTATACCATTATTCCAGAGTTTGGGCCATTTGTCAGGAATAAAAACTATTTAAGCTGTTGGTGTTAACCTAGAGTATAAATATGGAAAGAAGCCAAACAGCCTGATGTTGTCACATCAACCACATTTCCGCCTCTGCAATTCTGATGGACATATACACACTCAGCATAGCAGTACCCTTCTCTCTTTGCTATTTATCAGTGAGATTTTGACATGTGTGTACCTTTGAAGAAGTACTTGGTAAATAAATCCAAGCATCCTATAAAAATATGAAGCCTTTTTGAAAGTTAATCCTCTAAATTTCAGTAATTTTGTTCAAATTTAGTTGGAAATCTATAAATTATATTATCAATTGAATATTAAAAAGTTTTGTTTTTTGAAACTTTTAGTAAATTATGACTATTTTTTAAAAGGCTTACAAACTGGAAGGCATTGGATTCTATCTCTATAAAAGAAGGAACTGAGCAAAATAAATACTGAGAGTTCAGATGGTGTATATAAACTTATGTGAAGAATATTTTATTTGAGCTACTGTGTTTAATCGGACAAATTCCTATTCTGTATTCATAAAGCATTCAGTTTTGCAGCATCTAAATTTGACAAAACATTCAAAAAAATCATAAAATTAATGAGTTTTTTTCTTGTAGTAACATTTATCCAAAAAATTTACTAATAAGGGAGGCAAAAATTTAGTGATAGTGCCTGAAGAAGTAGTCAAGCTATAATTACACTTCTCAATACAAAAAAATTTTAAAAAGGATGAGAAGCTCTTCCATGTAGCAATTTGTTCTGAACACTTGTAGAGTATATTCTAATTTAAAATATTCTATAGTGAAGAGTCAATGAAAAGTAGGCAGGTATGCAAGGCTGGTTTAACATTACAAATTCAGTTAACAAATTTGAAGGCCAAAGAAGAAAAATCATTTGGTCATATCAATAGATGCAGAAAAAGCATCTGAAAAAATCCAACTCACTCATGATTTAAAAAAAAAAACAAAAAAAACCTCTCAACTAGGAATGGATGGGAGCATCCTCAACTTGCCTTAAAAAAAAATGTACAAAAAAACCTACAGTTAATCATACTTAAACGGTGAGAAGCTAGAAGCTTTCCCACCAAGATCAGGAACAAGGCAATGATATCCTTTCTCACTAATGCTTTTCAACATTGTAATGGAAGTCTTAGCTAATACAAGTCCTAGCTAAACAAGACCCTGTCTTAAAGAAAAGAAAAGAACAACAACAACACAACAAAGACTGGGAGAAAATGTTTGCAAAAAAGACATATCTGATAAAGGACTATTAGCCAAAACATCCAAGGACTCTTGGAACTCAACAGTAAGGAAACAGAATACCAGATTTAAAAGGGAGCTAAAGATCTTAACAGACATCTCACTAATAAATATATACAATATGACAAGCATGTGAAAGATGCTTCACTATATGTCATCAGAGAAATAGAAACTAAAACAATGAGAGACCTTTACACAACTACTAGAATGGCCAAATCTGGAACATTGATAACACCAAATGCTAACAAGGATGTGGAGCAGCAGGAACTCTCGTTAATTGCTGGTGTGGGTACAGCCACTATGGAAGACACCTTAGCAGGTTCTTATAAAAGCAATTTCTTATAAATCTAAACATCCTTTTGCCATATGATCCAGCAATCATGCTCCTTTGAATTTTCCCAGTGGAATTGAAAATTTAGGTCCACACAAAAACCTAGACATCAATATCTGTAGAAGCTTTATTCATAATTGGCAAAACTTGGAAGCAACCGAGATGTCCTTTAGTAGGTGAATGGATAAACTGTGATACATTCTGACAATGGGATATGATTCAGTGCTAAAAAGAAATGAGATATTAAGCCATAAAATGACATGGAGAAAACGTAAATTGCATATTGCTAAGTGAAGGAATACAGTCTGAAAAGCCTACATTGTGATTTCAATTCTGTGACATTCTGGAAAAGGCAACATTGTGGAGACAGTAAAATGATTATTGGTTCCCAATGCTTAGGTGGGAAGGAAGGATGAATAGGTTGAACACAGAAGATTTTTATGTTGAGCAGCAAAAATACTCTACATGATACTCTCATGGTGGATACACAGCATTATGAATCTGTCCAAATCCATAGAATTTTTTTTTTTTAATAGGGGCAGGATTCCCAGGGCCTTTGCTGGCTGTCACAGCTGCTGTGTGGCCCCAGGCAAGCCATATTCCCATGCTACTCAACCAAATCCTGGGCCAGGGCCAGGGCAGATAGATGGAGGAAATTAAGATGGGAGCTGCTGGTGGCCTTCCTGCTCCCATCTCACTTCCTCTGACCACCCCCGACCCCCGGCATGTACCCTGTGGCCACAGTGGCAATGGCTGCTGAGCAAAACTCTCCCCCTCCATGGAAGGGTAGATATGCCTGCCCCTTGGACCCAGGCAAAGCCTGCTCTGGCCAGAACCTGCTCCCAGCCGCCTGCACTAGAAACACAGCAACAACTAGCACTGAGTTCACAGTACAGAACTTCCCCACAAGATGCTCCAACTGAGGCAGGCAACTAGTGTCTACTCCATTCCCCTGCAACAGAGGAAACAGGCCCAGGGAGGGAGAAGAGCCTGTCCAGCAGTGTGAGCTCCAGGAAGGCGCCTCTGGAGCCCAGGCCCAGGTTAGTGAAGAGACACTACTTCAGGTAACCTTAGGAGGCAGCTTGTGGAAGCGTGAGGGAGGGCCCCAGGAAGCAGGAGGTGCCTGTTGGTGGGGGCACCTGCCCTGCTCATCCTTCCCACTCTCCATCAGCCTGGTCAAAGGAGGAGTTCCACTGCCCACATCCCTGGACCCTTGCCCTTTTTTTTTTTTTTTTGCACAGCTTATAAAATAGGGACAGGCACACAGAGAAAGCAGGCCTTGTAGCTCTCTATGCTGAAAGTGGCCACTTGCTGTTACCCACAGCAGACAGTGTTCTTAGGGAGGGGGCCGGGTTGTGGGAATGCATATCCATCTACCACCTCTACCAAGGCAGGGGTCATCAGTTCCACTTCACAGATGGGAAACTGGGCCCAGAGAAGGGGGCCTGGCTTGAGGGTACTTTCCAAGCCATCTCCCATTCCAGAGCCTCCAGGACTCCTGGAAGGTGAAGAGTGTCGGATTGGCTTTGGCCCGATTCCTTTGTCACTTCCAGAAGGACTCTCCAAAATTCCCTCCGTGTCTACTCACATAAAGGTCAAAAGCACAGAGAAGATCAAAGTGATAGAGAAGTCTGAGAGAGAAACTGTGATTGTGGAGGAACAGATGGAGGAGACCCAAGTGACTGAAGAAGAGGAGAAAGAGGCCAAAGAGGAGGAGGACATAGAGAAAGAAGGGGCTGAAGAAGAGGAGGCTGAAGGGGAAGAAGAGGAAGCAAAGCCTCCCCCAGCAGAAAAGGCTGCACCTCCAGGGAAGGAAGCCAAGTCCCCAGTGAAGGAAGAGGCAAAGTCACCATCTGAGACCAAGTGCCTGGAGAAGGAGGAAGCAAAATCCCCAGCTGAGGTCAAGTCCCCAGCAAAGGAAGAGGCAAAGTCACTGGCTGAGGCCAAGTCTCCTGAGAAGGCTGAGTCCCTAGTGAAGGAAGAAGCAAAGTCCCCTGAGAAGGCCAAGATTCTTGATGTGAGGTCTCCAGAAGCCAAGACTCCAACGAAGGAGGAAGCAATGTCCCCTGAGGACAAATCCCCAGAAAGGCCAAAAGCCCTGCCAAGGTGGAGATCAAGTCCCCAGAGAAGGCGAAGTCTCTCCTGAAAGGGGATGGCAAGGCCCCTGGGAAGGAGATCCCAAAGAAGGAAGAGGTAAAGTCCCCACTGAAGGAGGAGGAGAAGCCCCAAAGAAGGTAGAGGAAGAGAAAGCTCCCGCCACGCCAAAAGCAAAGGAGAAGGACAGCAAGAAAGCAGAGGCACCCACGAAGGAGGCTCCAAAGCCCAAAGTGGAGAAGGAAACTGTCATCGAAAAGCCCAAAGAATCCAAAGTCGAAGCCAAGAAGGAAGAGGCTGAAGATAAGAAAAAAGCAGCCACCCCAGAGAAGGAGGCTCCTGCCGAGGTGGAGGTGAAGGAAGACACTACACCCAAAGAGAAGACAGAGGTGGCCAAGAAGGAACCAGATGATGCCAAGGCCAAGGAACCCAGCAAACCAGCAGAGACGGAGGTGGCAGTGCCCGTGCCCACGCCTGAGAAGAAAGACACCAGGAGGAGAAGGCCACCAAGGCCAAGAAGCCTGAGGAGAAACCCAAGACAGAGGCCAAAGCCAAGGAGGATGGCAAGACCCTCTCAAAGGAGCCCAGCAAACCTAAGGCAGAAAAGACTGAAAAATCCTCCAGCACAGACCAAAAAAACAGCAGGCCTCCAGAGAAGGCCACAGAAGACAAACCACCAAGGAGAAGAAAGGCAGGGAGCAGCCAGAGAAACTAGAAGGGTCCCGGAGCTCAAAGATAGAGTCAAGTAATTTTTGCTTTTTCTCTCTTTATGTAAGAAGAAACTGCTTAGATGATGGAGCCTCCCTCTTCAAACAGGAATTTCTGTTAGCAGTGTGTTATCAAGAGAGGGTACTGCCAGCACCCTGCCCCTACACCCTCCCCACGCGATGGACAATT